AATTATTTCGATTCTCGGGGGCCTCAAAATAATTTAAATAATCGAAATAATTCAAATCGCTCTGGGTATTTGAATTATTTCAATTATTTTGGTTCTCGCGCTATCCAAAATAATTGAAATAATTGAAATATTGAAATATCTGGAGGAAACAAGGCGCTAAATATACCCTAGAGGTTCCTCTCTCATATATATATATATAGGGGGGGAGGAGGTGATATTCGAGTTTGATCGAGGCGATGCCGACCTAACTGCCTGCAAGACGTCCTTCAAGACGTTATAACCAACAGGGCCTGCAAATTCCAAACGGTAGGTGTCAGGAGATAAGGTTTTGCGGCTTTCTGGGCGGCGGTAGCTTTGCGGGCTCAAGGGTTGTACAAGTTTCGGTCTTGGGGTGTTCGTTGGCTTTGCATAAGGTTTTTGGGTCTCTTGTGTGGGGTTTAGGATCTTTGGCTTTAGGGCTTGCAGCTCCGAATCCCCGTGCAGCATCAACCAAGCCCCGAATTGACAACCCACAAGTAACATTGATCTCCAATGCCTCGGACCTTTCCGAACTGACACTGCGCAGTCAAGGCTGCGACGGTGGATGCTGTGATGATGAGGCACTTGGGATTTGGTCACGGGGTACGGCTTGTGTGTGTAACTCCTGTTTCTAATGATTCTGAGTGACTTGTATGTTGACTAAAGCAGAGTTGAAGCATGGAGTTCTGAAAGCAGATTGAAGAGCAGGGGGCTGGCAGCCTATTCCGTGATGCCAGCCAACGAAGCTAGCGGAATAGGAACTGTGGATGCATAGCTCTGTACCCGCCGATGTCTCACTAGTGCTGAGTTTCTTTATATATAGAATATGTATATATATATATATATACATATATATACATATATATACATATATATACATATATTTCTATATAGTGATGGATATGTGATGGCCTCCAGGTTTCATACACAAGCCTCAAGAACGTTGTATTGCATCTAGTTTCAACTCGCATTCAGATCTGATTGTTGTGATCTTTGCTCAGAGATTACAGGCTCCCATACGGTAAATGTTTAGAAAAGCACGGTAGAGGAGAGAAGGAAATGAGATGATGGATTCCAAAGAAGAGCGACGACCGGCTTGACCGGAAACTACATGTGTGTTCCCTGGTTGGCAAGTCTGTCAAAGGGCCAGTCGTGATGGGCGTTGCCGCGCGAAGCATACCCGACATGAAATCAGATTACACTCTGGCTCCACATGCCAGACTACTGCCCAGACTCCCCTCCGAAGCTTACCCAAGCATACCCAATTGGAATCCATTGTGATTCATCAGAAACAAGTACAAGCATCACTTTTGATGCTCCCAAAGCTGATCCAAGCATACCCAACAAGCACCCAAGACGACGATAGCGACGACATTCGCCACCCAACAATCACCCAACGTGTCGCGGTCGTCGTTTTTAGGAAGTAGATTGGTTGACGTGGGGATCAGTTGAAGAATGGCTTTTGTTTGATTGTCTAGGTTCTTGTACAGTTCAGGTTTTCTTGACTTCAGTTTCCGGTGTTCATGGTGCTCGCGTTGACGACAGACTGAAGATCAAGAAGCTCAAGAAAGAAGGTGCCAATCAAGTTAACATATCCTCAAAAATAATTCTAGTGGTCATCAACACACTTTGTCCATTGCTTTCTCATGATCTTATTAAGTTCTATTTGTAGCTGTTCTCATCCACCCATTGCACCGATCTTCAACTTCAATTTCTACGAGCAGCCTCGTGTTGTATTGATCTGAGTTTGGGGTAAAAGTTGAGGGTTTCTGAGCCCTGCCCTGCAAGCATGTCCGGGAGGAGGAGGCAGCAGAAGACCCTGGACCTGGCCTTGCGGCAGAGCCTTTCGACGAGGAAACCGAGGCCTGGACTTGAAGGCTTCGAACTTCGAACTTCGGACGTCGGTTGGGGGGTAAAGATTGGTTGGGGCCAGTGGAGTCAGCGTAGCCTCGTTTCACCTTAGCACCAGACGTGCTTGTCGGGCAGTGCAGTCCCCTTGCTGGTTGTTATCGGTGCTTCCTGCGACTCGAAGCCCCCATTTTCCGCAGGGTCTCCAGAATCTGTTAATGTAGGTTTGTGTTTTTGTTGATGGTTCCCGCTCCTGGGTTTGGGGCTTTTGTTAGCTCGCAACAAATTGAGTTAAAAAGTTGAGAGCCGTCGGTTGCCTCGCGCTTTGACATATTCCAGCATTGGTCACGGTGTCAATTTCGGTTGGCGTTTTTGGGCAAACTAACCCAAGCCTTCCACTATTTCCGACTGGCACTTCATCATGTCTTTGGCCTCGCGCCATCAAGCACATCAGCCCTTCAGTGAAATCGGGGCTTGTGCTCCCTTCAGATTCATAAGGCTGTCAGACAGCTCCCAGCCAGCACCTTCAACCCATGCATGCCCCATGTGAAGGGCTTAGAATCCCCAACCCCCACTTGCGATGCTTGACATTCCCATGCTTATAAACCCAAAGCTTGGCGGCACTGGCCCAACCTCAAGCTTCTACAAGCTTAAGCTTGCTACTTATTTTTGAAGCAGCAATCCCGCAGAACACCGAGGTCACTCCAATGGTAAATCAGTGAACCCGGAGCCCTGGCAAACTTCACCTCCCCCAACTCTAACCGGTTAGCTCAAACTCTATCTTTCAACCTTGCAGTGCTAAAGCTTCAGTCCTGAAAACACCTCGGCTTAAACCGTCTCAACCCTACTAACCAACAAAAAAACACACTCAATGCTGGCACCGTAAATCCTGCCACAGGTGCCCAGTCCTTCCGGCCATGCGGAGGCGGCCGATCCTATACAGGTCCTTGTTTAGGTTTGGACTTTCAGATTCCTTGTGACTGCGGAGCTCAACTTCGGGTGCAGAATTTTGCCGTTTCTCGACATTATTTCTGCTTGACTTCGAATCCCCAAATCTGCAGTTTTCCGACGTCTGGTTTCAGGGGAGCGCAGGATCATAAAACCCTGAAGTCTGGTTAGAGTTTCAGTACAGCACATGTTTGCAGTCTATTGTTCAAGAGGGTGCGCATTGGGAGGGGTGGAGCTTGGTTTCTCCTTGCAGGTGCCGATGGATGCGGGGTCTTTGTGCGAAGGGGTATCCGAAAACGGACACCACCTCCCACAATGCTGGGGTCCCAACCGTTTGAATGGAAGACTTTGACAATTAGAGTTTGCGGGGTTCAAACCCAACACCCACGGCGTCGTGCAATCCGCGACCCACCAAGCCTTGAAGCCCGTAGCCCGAAACCCCCGTAGTTTCAGGCCAAAGGATGTCCGAAGCCCTAATCTCTTCGACGTTCCTTTAACTGACGGACGCATCCCCGCAGGTCTCAGAGGCGGAGGCTGCGGAGGCTCGATTTGACTCCGCTGTTGCGTTTTTCATGGACTTGCAGCACACTCTTAGGATTAGGTTAGGGTTTCGAGTTTGGCTGGGTCCGGCTTGGGGGCTGCTGACGGCTTCCGGGTTCCATTAGGACAGTGATTCGATGGCTAACCTGTCTTGCCAAGGGTTTGTCTAGGGGTTTAGAGCTTTCTGAGTCTGCTGTACTGTAGTCCATAGCCAGCAAGAGCCTTGGAATAGAGATCTCAATGACCAAACGTTTCAAAAGCAATCAAGGTCTACAGTACTGACGAACCGCTCCTTCGCATCCTTTTGCTTCGGAAGAAACCCCAGACAGACGCCCTGTGCCGTGCACGACGAGTAAACCTGCAGCTCCCGAACACCAAGCCACAATCACCGCCGATATAGGCCTCGCCATCCGCTCAGACGACGCAGCATTCTCAGAAGATCTGTCTGCAAGTGTCTGTCCGCAAGTGTCTGTGCGTTCTTCAGAGCTTCGTGAGAGAAAGGAATCGCCCTTTGCTCCTGGACCCTGGCGATTCTCGCCCCGAGTGCCAACAGCCCGCTTGAGAACACATATATGAATATCAAGCTCTGCACCCGGAACTTCCAGGGGTCTACAGAAATTCATCTGGTTCTGGAAACAGCGCCACCAAGGCCAACCAAAACCAGCGTGCAAATCGCGAAACCCTGCAGCTTTGAACTCTAAGCAACCACGGGGCATGCCGGATCCCCAGAGTAAGTAAGGGCGTCGCAGCAAGGCACAGAAAAAACTTCACCCGCGGCCGTTTGGGGTAGTTGCGAGTAGCCAGACTGGTATAGGCGATAGGCAATAGTTTAGGGTTTCGGGGGCTCAATCCGTCAGTGCCTCCCACCTCGAATCCTCCTCGAATCCTCAAAAATCTAACGGCGATGCACTCCGCCCGCACGGTCTCAGGGTTTCTCAGGTTGCAACAGCCATCGTACACTCTGAGCTTGTAGTTTGTTTCTTCGCCGATTTTCAGAGCCATCGCTTACATGTGCAATATTGTATTCAGAAATCATTGCCGAAGTCAAGCTCAGGGTTTAGGCAAGAAGAGCAAAACCAAAACCTGACAAACCAGACCTACAAACCTACAATTCTGCACAGCTACTTATCTTGCACCCACCTCTGCAAACTGATAAAGAAACCCCAGCCGTATGCTAGAACCGCCACCCTCCTTTGTATCACGGTTGCGGCAGGTAAAGTCTCTGTTCCTCAATTGCGAGTGCCCGAACCCGCAACCCTCCAAAGGCTTGCGCCGAAGCGCGCCCGGTCCTGCTCGGCCCGGCGTGGCCCGGGCGCGACTACGACTGCGGCATCACGGGCCAAATCCTTGGGAGCCACACGGCTGGTCAATACGGCGAAGGCGTATGTGTGTGTGTGTGTGTGTGTTGAGTGTGTCTGTCTGTCTGTCCGTCCGTCCGTCCGTCCGTCCGTCCGTCCGTCCGTCGGTCTGTCCGTCCCCGTCCGTCTCTGTGTGTATGTGTTTATATTGCAATATATGTGCATGTAGGTATGTCAGGTATATGGGTTTGTGCGTATGTAGTTTTAGAAAAAATATATACATATATATATATANNCCCCCCCCCCCCCCCCCCGGCATACGTGACAGACCACCGTTTTCAGAACACCGCTCCCACCGGCGACTCCCGCCTTTTCGTGGGTTCGCGACTCAAGCCCTGCTTTCGTCTGACTTCAACCCCTCAAGCGAAGACGAAAAGAGCCGAAACATCGCAGAGAACGGCGGAGCAGTGTTGATATTTGTGTGTGTTCCTGTTGACTTGTTGTTTTGCGTTCGTATAGCTTCAAGCCCCAGCCTGAGAAGAACAAAGAATATCCAGCGACCCTATTCCAACACATCTGTCCAGTCCATGTTAGGACTGTTAGGAGCCTAAAACGACTGGTTTGTATAAGCTTTGTCCACAGGCTTTTGACAACATTATTTCTGTCGAATGATCAGGTGCCAGTAACTGTTTTATGACAAACGGATTCATCTGTTTCTTGTGCTGAGACATGCCCATATGTGAAACCGGGATTACCAGGCTTTACTAAGCTTCACAAATGAATAACATTTGCAAGAGATCTCTCAGAAGTACCAGTCACCAACCATATAGTTAGTACAGTTCGATTTTGATTATATTCAGGCCAGGCTTTTCTAGCAATATCATCTTGAATCGTTTCTTGAAGCACGCACAGACATGTTTATGCAGTCTCCACTCATCTGTAAGCAATCACCTCAATATTGTGGGTATGGTGTGCAGTCTTTTACATAAACTAGTGGTACATTACTTCGTGCAGTCATACACGCGCCAAGCTGTATTGCCAGGTAAGTGTCCATATACATTGCATCTTAACAGCATTATACTCGGTTTTAGGTGTATCTGTCAGGCTAGCAGTAAATTTCAGCAGCTGTAGCAATTCGTAGCAGTCCGCGTCCAACTAACATAACTGTAGGCATGGGTAATTCTACTGGAATGTTAGTCGCCATACCTCCTACAAACCTATCCAATCTGAATCTAAACTTCCATTCTCAGTCATATCTGGTTACCAATATGCAGTCTTTTGTGCAAAACTCATCGTACCAAGTGTAACCAGTGTAGATAGGTTTACGATGGATTTACCAGTCTAACGCCAATGTTACAGCTACTATTCCCATTACCAGTGCCCCTGCTACAGTGACTGAAGTTGCGGTTCTGCCCACTCAGCAATACTACTCAACACTCTGGACCTCCCCTTTTCTTATTTCTTAATTCAACCTGTCTGGGTAAATTACTCCTGTGATTCACTCAGGGTAATCGGTGCAGTGTTCAACAATTAGTACTCACATCATGTCAGACCAACCCAAAATTATAAGGTGCATGTATCGAGTGTTGAGTCCTATGCTTCTTCACCAGTTGGTAAGGTTGTAACTACCAGCTCTTAGTTTTGAATCTTCCCAGCGAGCTTTAATAGAATGATGGGCGAATCCGGCAACACCGTTTGTGTTTAGAACCTGCAGGATTTATTGTTATCAACCAACTGAATTCAACCTGGTTTTGGTTGCTTATGACCAGGTTGGTCCATGATATCTTTATGAGTTTAGTTCACCTTACGTCTGTGCATCAGTTACTGTAAGTCATGTCCCTGATCGGTCTAGGGCTCTTTGCTGTAAGCACCTGTTAAAGCCATACAAACATGGCAACGCAACCATGGCCGACCCCCCATGCAAACATAAAGCATACAGAAGTAGCCATCTTACCGATTCATCTTACGAAAGGTGTAATTCAAGCCTGTATCAGCCAAGCAGAGATTAGTATCTATGTTTGTACAGAACAAAAGTGCGGAGTTAATCAAGAATTGTTTGGCAATATACAAATACCTGACTTGCATATGAAACCACATCGCCTGAAGACTTGCCTCTCCATTCACGTAAAAACGCGGTGTCCTTAATTGCGCAAGGCTGCTGGTCTTAAACAAGCCAAGCCTAAACTAAATGCAAACAGAACGTTGGGTCGATTTTTGCATTTTCAACCCGACAGTAATATATCTATATCTCTATCCATGTATGTATGTATGTATGTATGTATGTATGTATGTATGTATGTACGAATGTATGCACGTATGCATTCACGAACAGAGACTCTGTAGGAAGCAAAGCATGCCGCAGCGTGAAACACAAACCTTGTGGAACGTGAGAAGAACACGAAAAGCGATGCGCCAGTCAGCTGTGTTTCTGGTTCCTGGAACTGTCAATCACAAGACTTAAGCCCAAAATCCTCTAAATCCCAAGTCCTGTTTCACACCGCTAAATCTAATGCGATACTCGTACCCTGAACCTGAAACCATATCGCCCTAAACCCCCAACCTAGAAACTCCAAGCTCTATACATCCTAAATTTTGTGCCTCCTTGCATCTTGGGGACAAGGCTCGTGCCCGGTTGGCAAAGACCCAGCCAGTCTCGGACCGAGATTGTTTGGGGTCCAGTAGTTGCAGTGGTTGTTTTCTGGAATGTGTGTTTCGGGCATCCAGCCTCCTCGTTCTTGCAAGGTCAAGGGGATTGGGTCAGAGAAACTCCCATGTGGGGATGGTGGTCATTTGGCGCTTCCAGAACCAAACACAATGTGTCAAGCGTACAGGTATGAGATGATGCCGAGAGTAGCTGAGTAGAGTCTTGGAATGCTGTCTCTAGGAAACCATCTGCCACTATCTTTCCGTAGAGTAGTTGTGACGGTAGGTTTGCTCCAGAACATGAGTCGAGTTGCTCCTCAATGAGGTGGCAGACACGCTCCCAGAGAAGCCGGAGAAGCGACTCTCGTCTTGCAGTGAAGCCCGTCCCTTCGAGACGATTCTGGATTGTAGTGCTTTGTCGAGCAGGTGCGTTCGAAAGGATGCTTTTTCATAGTCCCGGCGGCGGGGAGGCTTTTGCGATCCAAAGGCCCGAAAGCTCAATCGTCGACCCCAGGCCCAATCGAAGCAAGCTGCTTCCCTGCGATTTGTTGTCTTACTGTTTCATGAAGCCCGTGCAAGACTAGCAGGTCTTTGTCGGTTCAGACGCAACTATTCTGCCAGGCACCCCATAGCCCGAGAACCAACCTATAGGATTTCTACAGGATGATGTCGGAGTATGAATTCGGGTTGCGTTTCCTTCATTTCAGAAGTTTAGTAATTCAGCCAAGTCCGCCCTACCCGGAGGGAGATAGCCGTGCAGTTCTTTCAGCCGTTCCGCTAGTCCACAAACCTTGTCGGGACAAACGAACCACAAGGACGGAAACTTGTTGAAACCACAATTTGTTGTGGGGATATTGCACTCGAAAGTGATATGTTTGGGTGCTGATGGGGCTCGCAACCCAGGCTCCAGGACATCCGCTGATTTGAAAACTTGGAGCTTCTGTTGTAGATCCCATGAGACTACTTTCTGCCGCCACCATATTGAGTCCAGAATATGACCACGATCAGAGATCCTGCGCCATGAAGCCCCAATTCCGTGAGCCACGACCATTTATTTCGGAAGCCCACTCCCGCAGAGTTCCATTTCTTAGGCAAGCCGAAAACTCTTCGGCCATCCCTGCTGCTGAAAATCCGGCCGATGAATTTGGCGGAGGCCCGCTTTCGTCTGATCAAGATTTGAATATATTGGACTGCTTAATCTCTCCAGTGTAGCGGGCCTGATTGATTAGCCATAGTTTTCTGTAATTATGGCTGTTTAACTGCAACCGATTAGTTTGTGGCGTTGAAAAAAATTGCTCAGGATAGGAGTTTGAATTTGCGGTGGGGGCTGCAGGGCTTGGGGATGGGGATTCTTGGTGTTCCGCTCGGGGCTTTGAGCTTCGGGCTTCGGCAGAAGGAGCCCCAGCGCATCTCTGAAAGCTATTGCTGCTGCACAGCTGCGAATTAAATTTCTGTAGGGTCTATTTCTGTTTAGGCATTCATGGTGGAGCCGACTTCCGGCTTCATGAGGAAATGTGTTTATGTTCGAGAGGTCTGCCGGAGCTTTGTGTCGCTGACCGGTGTAACATCGTATCCTGACTCTGGCCCGAGGATTGACACCAAGTCCCAAAACCCTAGACACAAATTTACAAGGCCAGTCAGAGAGAAGCACACGGCATGTAATTAAACGATGTAAGCCCAGATTTCGGAACGCGACATCTTCAACCCGAACTCGCTCGGTACGTGGCGACATAATCAACGATACAATCGGTTCGGTTTGAGGTACACTATGGCATGCGATAAACGTATTGTTGGAACAACCCTAGACCTTTAGCATCCTTTCGCCATCAGGCGCAAGAAGCATTCTTTGAAAGCGGCTGCCTGGAGGACAGCCGAGGATGTACCATTGGGGGCTACATCGTTGCGTGTGCTGGTGTGGCTGAATCAGGATATATACTTTCCTGGGAGTGGTTGGCTCTTACTTAGTTAGACACGCACACATGCACCGTCCCGGCAGCAAAACCAGGGACAAAAGCAATGTCAGCTGACGCCCTTGCGGCTGCCAAGACATTGTTTCATGTGGGGCAATGCCTGCAGGAAGCTGAAGCCAGCACCGCTCGACGTGAAGGGAAGCGATTCCAGAAGAAGCCTTCAACTGGAAGCCCAGAGCGTATGATAAGGTTTGCAGGTGAGAAGCTCCCTGGCCCTAGCTGTAACGGTGCCATCATGAAGCGGCAGGCGCCGAAGTTCACCTATGCCTTTTCCGATGAGGTGGTGACCAAAGCTTTCGAGGAACGCTTTGGGTCCAGCTTTTGGGGTTGAGAGTTCCGACATTAGAGTTGTAACTTCTGGGCTCGGATGCAACAGTGAGTCCCTCTCCTCAGCGATGTGTGGGGTGTGTTACAAATTACCTTCTCCTTCGACCTCACGTTTCGAAAAGGTGTTATGTGATCAGGTGCCATGCGCAAGAACCGTCCTTATATCATGCAGGCATGAAGGAGATGGGAGACAGATTTCGGTACGCAACACTACGTACAGCACTGTACTAGCGATACGAGGCAGCTCAAGCCTTTAATGACTGAGGCCTCATACTCTAAGACGTTGGCGTAGGTACAGCACGCTCTACCTCGAAGGCCTGCAATAGTCTCATTGATACACCAAGGGAGTTCCCTAAACTCCAAGTACCTGTTCCACACCTTGAATTCTGAACCAACGCCTTAACCCGAAACCTTCCAACAATCGTAGCTTCAAGCTGTTACATCCTTGTATGTGCCAAGCCTGCTCTAACTTCGAACTAGGATGCATGACGTATACATGTTATCTGGATTTTCGAGTGTGTTTCTTCGGTGTCGAGTTGTGGGACTATACTGTACCATGTAGACTTGCTTTTTTGATAATTGTCAGCAGCCGTGGGGCAGAGCACCGCTGCGAGAGTCATCAGCATGCATAGTCTGTGAACTTGCAAAACCAGCATGCCTCTACAGCCGCGAGCCAGGAAAACTCCTCCGTCGACTTTGAGCACGTAGCGGCGGCGAAGCGGATCCTTGATAAGGCGTGCGTTTGTATTGCTGTTGTTTCGTTTTTGGCGGCCCGAAGCCTGAGACCTTGCAGATGTGATGTCAGGAGGTTTGCAATCAGTGTAGATTCAGTAGATGGATTCTGGATGTCTTGGCAGTTACAGAAGCGGGCAGCATCCTAGCTCATGTCCGTGTTTGCGATGTTGTGGTCACAGGATGTTTGAGTGCACTGCTGTAGCTTATGCTGTCCATTTTCCTCAGTGCAGTGAAGAATGTTGGCTCTTCATTTGCGATTGTATTTCAACTTTTGCAGTGGCCTATCTTAACTCAGCCTTTTCGTGGAATCGAACAGGGTGCCTGAAGCTTAACTAAAGGGGATAATTCCGCCAGATCTCTGAAGACCCAGCAAGCCCCAAACCTTGCTTAAGCCTTGAATCGTACGCCTGTCTCAAAGCTTCCATGTACGTCCCGCGACAAGCCTCAACACAACAATACTAACACTCAAAGCCTTCCCAAGCCTTCACCTGCAGCACTGGCCTTGTCTCGCCAGCCGGCCAGGTGCATAGCAGCTACGGGGGCCCAGACTTGTTCATGCAGCTCATGTGAGCCTGTGCATGGATACTTTACATCCTGGATTAGCTTTGTGTTGCGGATTATCGGACTTTGCTTCGCTTGAACTTTCCGGGGTCTGGTACAATGATCAAAACGAGGTTCTTGCCCTAGCTCACACAGCCCTACTGAAGCCTCGAGTGTGCGAGAGAGACACAGAGAGAGAGAGA